TTATCTGTCTCAAAATTATTATTGTCAAGTTTGAATTTTCACTTTTATTTCAATTTGTACTAAGAGTGAAAAATAAAATTAGACAATAATTTCAGAACAAGAAAAATATTAAATATGAATAAGTGTAATGTAATATATAAACATGTGTGCCCGGACATCCACCCATGCTCGTCTCGTGCACACACTCGCACACACATAAATACCTATATATATACTTAAATAAAAGGCCGTTGATGAGTTTGGAATCTCCAATATGTATAAATCTAATGTACTCTTCTTGTTACTAGTCCAATGTGCTGCTCTCTTTATTGTTAATAATATTTGTTCCGCATTGGGAATTGAACTCATATTGAACAATAAGTCCTGACACTTGTTCATATTAGAAATTATATATATGTCCCATCTTCTGCTCTTCTTGTGAACATTTAGCTTCGAGATTAAATCACCTGTAGAGTTATACGGACTTGTTACTCTTATTTTAAAAAAAAAAAATCACCAAGAACAAGAAAATTTGGCGATACTCAAGAGCCCAGCTAGCAAGCTACCGTAATGGCCACTTCCCCTCAAAAAACATTCATTTAATATCACATGAGTTGAGACCAACACCTCAGATGTTAGACTGATATGAAGAGATATTGCACTTGATCTTAGTCAAAAAGCCGAGAAAGGTATGATTAGCAGAGTGTTGGAAGCGTGGTTTTATACTACTCCCTCCATTCCAAAATAAGTGTCATCCTACACTTTGCATATAGTTTAAGAAATTCTTAAATAAGATAATAAAATTACTTCAATATCTTCAACCAACCCCACTAAAAAAATGTCCACCAATAGTATTAATTCTTTCGAGGGTAATTTTAGAAACTTTGGACAAAAAGTGCATTGAAATGTGAGAACGACACTTATTTTAAAATTTCTCTATTTTGCTAAAACGACACTTATTTTGGAACGGAGGGAGTACAATTTTTCACTGTTTAACCGGTAGTTGATGTAGGATTATGGGGAAAAGTGTCAAATTAGTTCTCAACTTGCAGCCCGACTTCAATTTCATCCTAGTGTATTTCGAGAATGCTAATTTCATCATAATGTATTACAATTCGACCCATTTCATTCTTCTGTCATCTAATTAGCAAATTCCGGCTGTTAACTTGGTCAAAGATCGTAAGAAAATATATTTTATAATTTCAATACTTAAATGGCATGTAATTATTTAACTTAATTTTTTACTAATTAAATTAATAAACTTAATTTTCTAATAGTTTAATTAGTTATACGTGGAAAGTTTCAATTTTCTACTGCCTTAAATAATTTATCTAATTTTTAACTTGCTATCACATATGTCATGCTTGTACCAAATGTGCCCTGTTTGATAAACCAATTCCGCACTTAAACTTAATTGATTAAGTACTTAATTGATCGGTACTATTTGATAACACAATCGCATAACAACTTAATTGGTTAAGAGCTTAACTAATTAAATACTTAAATTTTAAGTACGTTTGATAACTCAAATTAGGATATCTTAATAAATTAAGTGAGTCTGAAATGCTAGTAGAAATGTGAATTTACAAATAAATGATAGACTTATCACTTATATCTGAACTGAATTCCTACGACGATTTTTTTCTATTTATTTACTTTTATGTTTATACTTTTGATGTTTTATCTTGAACTATTTTAGTTATAAATTGAAATTTATTGAAATTATTTTTATTTAATAAATATTTATTTTAATATAAAAATAAAACACAAATAAAGTCTATTATAAATATATAATTTATCATAAAGATGTTTTTTTTTGACAATGATAAAGATATGATATTATTATTAACTAAAAAATAATTACATGATAAAATTTGCATATTTTTATAACATAATTTTATAATGATAATATTATTTTTATTATCATATTTCATGTGTATAATTATATATACATCAATTATTTTTTTAGATTAAATTATAAGTCGAGATACTTTAAATTTCAGTGTTCAGACTTCAGTTTTCAGATTTTGATTTTTAACAAACAACACAAACTTAATCAGTTCAGTACTTATGATTTAGTTTTCAAATTTCAGACTTTAGACCTAAATTAAGTTTTATCAAACGAAAGCTAAGTTCTAATCTGTCAAATTACATAGTGGTTGATAATTCCAATTTCTTTTTCTTTTTTTTTTCTTTTTTTGTTTTCCTTCAAAAAAATTTTTTCCATGGAATAGAACCGGTAACCGATAAGAGTAACCGCAGGGAGGGGGAAAAGAAAAGACTATGAGAATTTAGAGGTAATCTTTGATGATGAATGACACAGAGTCATTGATAGAGAGGACACGGTTATGATTTGGGTGATGATGATTCGGTGGTGGCGTTTGCATCCGTGATTTAGTTCAGTTTTGTTTCTTTTGGTCCATTAAGGGATCCCCGATTCTATTGATTTTAAAAAGAAAAGGTACGGGGGTATTAAGACTTACCCAAAAAGAAATAAGACTCTTACAAAAATTTATTAAAACTCCATGACGGTAAGTTAATAACTAATAAATTTAGTTAATTAAAAAAGTATAAAATTAGGGGAAAATATGAATTAAGGGTAGTAAAAAATATAAATTAATAAAAAGGATACAACTCTTCTATAATTTGGATTAAGGAAGTAATTTACTTTCTAAAATTAACAAAATTAAAATATTTATCCTTTGATAAGATTGCCCTTAGTTTTTATCAAATAAAAAAAAAGGAACAAAACTGAAAACCCTGTTCCTCGCTCATATTCTCGACCCAAGCTCCACAGCCGACGTCTTGTTTTTCAAAATCACAAAAATCTAATAAATAAATACAAAATAAAAATAATTTTTATTTCTCGATTAACTTGGATATATTCTTATACATTCTTTTGTTTTTTTATATATAATTAAAATTAAGTTGAATATTTTTTACAATATTAAATGTAATAATTATTTTTTATTTTACAAACAAGTTCCTCTTTTTTATTTTTAATATATCTGATCATTTGTTGCTCTTTTGGAATCTAATTATTTATGTATTTAAGTGATTAGATCAAAGTTATTGCGCGATTAATTTAATGTACTTCTATACATATTGGATTTTGTATTTTACCATGGCCACTTAATTTTTTTAAGTACACAGTTTACTCTTCATGTATGATTATAAAATTTTAATGGAAAAGTAAACTATGAATAACAATCTTGATATGCAGAAGATACATTTACATAGTAAATTGTCACATTCTAATTTAACGAAATTTGATATTTAGGAAATTGTACAATTAGAGTTGTATGTTACCGTTGCAAGAAAAAACTTATGATTATGAGATGCAATTAAATTATCCAAGAGTCATTATAAAAGAATTAGGGTAATCCAGTCATTATATGAATATTTTTATTTTAAATTCATAACATTGTTTATTGTCCTTAGTCTAACTTATGGAAGAGTTATGCCTCTTTTATTAATTTAGATCTCTCCACCGCCTTTGATCCAAATTTTCCCTAAAATTAGATTAATTATTGAAATTTGCTCCATGCATAACTTACTAATATATAGAAAATTAAGTTCTTTAATAAAATTAGTAAAAATTAAGTTAATTAATTAAGTGCCAATTTTTAATCCTGAAGTTAGAAAATAATAAAATATATTTTCCGGCGATTTTTTTACCAAGTCAATGGTCGAAATTCGCTTATTAGATGACAGAAGAATGAAATTGATCGAATTATACTACAGCAGGATGAAATTGACGATCTCGTAATACATTCGGATGAAATTGAAGTCGGCTTCAAGTCGATGACAAATTTAGCACTTTTTTTCCTAGGATCCTGCGATTCTGCTAAAATGTAAAACTCAAGACAGGAAGACAAGAAGCGAAAAGTGGCATTTAAATTTGGAAGAAGCTCCTTTAGATATTAACTTCATAGTAAAATCTGAAGACTTTGGCATGAATTCTAAGTTGTAAAGGGAAGGGGAAATTTTGTAAAACCTGCCTGTTCAAGTAAGGTCGCAATGGGCCGGAATCAAGAAACGCATGAAGACTTTGGCAGGAATTCTAAGCTGTAAAAAAGAAGGAGAAATTGTGATCAGGGGTTGATAAAGGTCGCCAAGTTATAAGCTGGTTTGAACTTTTGTATGGCATTTGATAAGATCATCAAATCGTAATCAGAAAGCAGATTTTAAGCCTTTGGTTTAGATGATCATTGAAATTTGAACAGGTTTGTGCAAGTACAAATGTTAGTTGACGTTTTAACATTTATTATTATGAAACGGGATCTCGCAGTCAACATCAAGAATCTGTGAAAATCAGATACTGAATCTGATGACCTTGTTGTGTATGCCTTGGCCTTACTATTTCCTCCACATCTCGTCTCATTGCTGCCGAGTACATTCATCTTGCTTCTATAGTAAAAAATAAATAAACTTAAGACACTAGAAAGGGAAAATGGCAGAAGAAAGTGAAAATATCTGCACTTGAGACGGCCACATTTGTTAATCTAACCAAAGATTCTTGTCATTTGGAGAGTCAGGCAGACGATTTTATTGAATCTGGATGTGAAGATTCTAATCTCTAAAGATCTTATTGAATATGGATGCGCTGACGATGAGCATTGGTTCAGAGAATACGATCCAGCACTTCAAGCAGCAAAGCCAAATAAAATTTGCATCCATTATGAAACCAGGGAATGATTTACCAACTGCTAGTCTTGCGAACATTTTTAATCTATTACTCAATATGGAACCGCCTCTCTCATTGATCTTATCTTGGAGAATCTCAACCACTCCCCTACATTTTGCCTGAGTTCGCCTGTGAAACCACGAAATCAAGTAGGTCTGTAACTCATGTCTCATACTCGAAGTTGCACTAACAAAATTGCGTCGCGCTCACGTGACTATACCGGATTTGATAAGAAATACTCCCTCTGTCCCAAAATTATTGTCCAGTTTGAGATTTCACTTTTAGTACAATTTGAATTAAAAATAAAAACTCAAACTGGACAATAATAATTATGGGACAGAGAGAGTAATGAGTTTGAAATGCACTACAAGGATGATGCTCTCTAATTTGGTGTGAAAGATGACTCCTTACGCTCCAGGGCTATTTATATCATACTCTGAATGCAGGTACAATGATTCAATTCAACTCCACGCGACCCATTTTGACTTACTACTCAAAGATTTGGTTGTATCTAATACAGAGTACGATGCCCAATACCTTCATGAAGATTTGATGTTCTAGCTCTCATTTGTCACTATCAACCTAAAGAGGATTTCCAAGACGGGTGATCTAGGGACAAGCTTGTACCATCACTCATTTGCTCAATAAAAAGGGCATATTTCCTGGTTTCCGGTCCAAGATGGCCTCAAAGCCAAAGTACGAGAGCTGCATCTCTTGACTCATACATCACAGTATTCCCTCCAAATACAGGAACTCTTAGATTCCCTAATAGAGAGCTATATTGCTGGGTTAGGCTTACCGCTTATGCACGGGTACAAACATGGAAAATCGACACGATGATGTTTAGATGCTGATTACCTCATCTAGTGTGCCCAGCCCGGAGTTTTTCCTCCCGGATTAACATGCCTCTCCAATGTTTTAGAAAAAAAGCTCAAGCTTACAAAGACTGAGGACCAGAAGATGGGAGAAAGACTTCTCATTGCCAAGACGAAGCCTGGTACTGCTTCAAAGCAACAAGCTATGACATCAAAATCGAAGGAGAATTTATAGGCTTCGAGCAGACTGAAATCAATAATCAATGATCTTACAGAAGACAAAACAATCTCAACAATCTCACATTTGCTTCTATCTCTAGAATGCTAGGTCGAGGTAAGACAATCCTACCCAAAAGAATCTTTATTTGATGGTCTACAGTGATCACAACATACAAAACAGAAATTCAGCAACAAGCAGTTATGAGTAGTCCGGATAAGTCATTTTGCACCTTTTCATACAGCTTACAACTGTCCTCCCCATGCAATGGTATGATAAACAGACTAGTTTCTCACTTCAAATCAAGTAGTTACAGAAAGTGCAGTAAACTTGGCAGGTCACATAAACTCACTATATAACAATTAGTTAACTCAAAAACATCGGATCAAAGAGAATACCAAACATAGAATTCTTCCATTGTATGGTTGAGAGAGGAGATCAGATTCAAATACAAAAAGTTCAGCGACCAAGGATACTAAGGCATCCTATAATGCCAAGTTAAGATACTACTTATTATATACACATCTGAAGCTACCAAAACCAAAAAAACAATTAAAAACATCGCATAAGCTTGAACCTCATGGAGAAGATGCAGCTCTAATAGCCCTCTGCAATTCACTCTCCACATCGCTCACCTTATCGCCATTCTTCCTCATTTCTTTCTTTGAACTATCTTCTCCCCTATTCTTATTGCTTCTCCACTCAAAACCATTTGAATCTTCTGCAGCGGGCCTCAACTTCTTCGCATAAATCTCAGTCACGCCACCGCCACCGCCACCACCCCTCCCAAAGTGACCCAACTTCATTTCATCCAACCTATGTTTCATCTCTCTATTTTCCTTCTGCAGCATATCCAATTCCCTTTTCATCCAAAGACACATGCCTTTCAACATCTCAGAATCGCCAGAATTAGTCTCACTCTTCTTCTCCTTCACTTCTTTCACTGGCTTAACCTCATCAATCCTCTTAATCCCAATCTTATTCACAGTCAAATACGGGACTTGCTTACTTAAATCCTCCGGAAAGTTCACACCCCACCTTAAACTCATCAAAACCCTCTTGCCAACTGGCATATCCGTCTTTGCCATCACAGAAAATCCCCTCAAAATCGAATCTTTTCCGTTAGTTTCCATTGAGAAGTCCTTCAAACTCAATGGCCTCTCCAGAGGAATAAACCCAAATGAATTTACACCATCCCCATTGATCTTACCACTTGGGCTCCCAGGTGAATGGGAGAAAGTTGATTTCTTTAAACAAAATGAACCCAATTGGGGTTTAAAGAGCAACGAAAACGTGGGATTTGAATTGGGAAGATGAGGATTGTAAGAGAAATTGGCAGAGATAACCAGAGGGGAATCTTTAGGAGAACCAAATTGGCCAATACCTGACTTGAGTGTAAGAGTCAGCGGTGGTGGCGGGCTACTGGCGGAAGGAATGACGGCGGCGGCGGTGGTGGCGTTGGTCGCGGCGGCGGAACTAGTGGTGGCGGTGGAATAGGAAAGTTTGAGAGTGGGCCCAGATGAAAAGTTTGTGGAGAGAGAAAGGGAGAGGTCGGAAGGGTGATGAGTGGTGGTGGAGAATCCAGAAATGAAAGGGAGATTGAAAATGGAAATGGGGATTTTGGCCCTGAAGAGGAGTGGAAGGTTTTGGTTGTTCTGCGGCGGAGCTGGTGGCTGAGGCTGATTGTGGTGGTGGTTGTGCTGGTGATGAGGATCTTGGGTTTTGATTGAAAGTTTCATCTTTTCTGTTTCGTTTCCTCCACAAAACCTCAAACTCTGCTGAAAATGGAAGCTGTCGGATTCGGATTGTTTAGTAGTCTACCTCCACATAGCTATGGATTGGAGCTTTGGAGCAGTGTGTGTGTGTGTGAAAATTAGTCTCGATCAGGAATTGTGAGGTGAATATGGATGGACTTAGGAGTTTGGACTTTGGAGGTGAATAAATATAAATGTAGCAAAATGCAAATTTGTTCCCAAAAGTTGTTCTTAATTAGGTAAAAGCCCCCGGAGTCCATAAAATTTCCCTTTTTCAAATTCTAATTTTGAATAAAGACTTTTTCTTCTTCTTTTTCTTTTATCTATTTTCCATATAACATTTTCTTTTTTCATTTCCAACTCTGTGATAATGGCATATTCTACATTTCTACTCATCAAATTAGACAGTGATACACTTATTTCTTCGATAAGTGGCAAAATTGTTAAACAATAAAAATGAAATCAAAAAAACTCATTTAAGAAAAAAGTAATTGTGACACACAAAATTACACTTAGTAAGTACTTCATGAAATGTCTTCCACATTGAAATAGTCTTAACTAATCTTTCTTTTTCTATTTTTCATTTAAAATGATAAGATCGTTGTGGATGGTCTGAGGTTACACACAACAATTTGAGTTGAATTAGGGCCTTAAGATATTGTTACCAGATATTTTTGTATACAGCAAGTCAAATGCTATTTTTTGTTTGAGAAAATTATGAAAAAGGGTTTTGGAAAGATCAAAATTATTCTCAAGGGCGTTGATTCTTTTATTTTTTTATTTTTTTTAATTCTTTAGCTAACAGATAATGTTTTATGTCCACCTAAAAGACTATTTTATTCTTTTTTTACACCATTTCAGCCAAGGTTCTCGCCTAAACAGTAATTCGCAATGACTCTTATTTTTGAGATTTTCTTCTTTCAATTGATTCAGAATAGAGTTTTGAGTTCAACGATTGCAATCCGAATCATATCTTACTTTTCAGTTTCGATTTCGTAATTTAACTTTGAATGTGGATAGTAAAGACGTGAACCCTTAATGGGAGTCCTAATTTTCATGGAGAATCAATTAGCAGTCTCCGAAAATCCAACGAGCTTCCACTCCAGTTTGTCAAACCATGGTAACTTTACTGTAAAATTACGATTTCAATCGGTTAATCTTCTTGAATTATCATTTATGATTTTGATAGTTGTTTAAGTGTGGAATTTTGATTAGGAAATGAAAAGAGATGCAACCAGATTTTTTAATTCAAGAAATCATTGATGCTTTCGAATTAGTTTAATTCATGGTTCTTTTGCCGTTGATATTATCAGACTTCTCTATTTAAACGTAAGCATAAGTTGAGGAGTTTTTATTAGAGATTATTAAAGCGGCTGTCAAAGCCTTTTTTTTCAAGAAAGGTTCTGTATATTCAATTCAATGTTCTATGGCCAAGTTGTAAGTTAAAAATAATGTAGTTTTGGTGATCACTTTCAGAGAGCATACATTAATTTCTTATTTGTGATGAGTTGATCTCTGATTAGGTCCTTCAGGAGGAGAAATCGTGCAAAGAATCATGCACAAACACCATCGGAGATCTCATATTTCTAGTGATTCTGACTCAGGAACCCGTGATGGATGATGATTATTATTCAGGTAAAAAAAGAGGAGTCCGGCAAGGCATCACAGCTCGAGTTTTTTTTTTTTTTTGATTCGTTACACGGGTTTTGTGGCTTTAATAAATTGATTTATGGGCTTTATATGTTGATCCAATGAAATTTTGGGCTTTATATCTTAGTCCATTTGAATTATGAGTGAGAAATAGAGTTGCACCATTGGAGGTGTGGGTGGATGAATTCCCTGAGGCTTGAACTCTCTAAAAGCCTTTCACATGTCTTTCAGGAAGAAGGAACCCATTAATCATAACACCAGTGAGGTTTACAAGTGAAAAAAAAAAATCAACTCGTTGACTAATTATGATATTATTATATATTAATCCAAGAATATATAATTGTTATCATGAGAGAAAAATATAACAACTTCAAATATTACAAGATGTAGCTTGGCTGATAACTTAAATAAAATTGTTTTTTGATCAAGAAGTACAACCTAGTAAAGATATTGGATCAACTAAATTAAAATTAGGCTTCATACTTTAGTCATATTGGATTTTGATTATACTAAACTTTAGTACTAGCTCTATCAAAAAAATAATTTTACATTGAGTTTTGATTGGTACAAATTTTAAAATTCAATATGGACCTTTTTTTTCTAGGACGGTGAAAGTATAAACAAGTAACAGTCATATAAATACTCGTTACGAAAAAATTATCTTCCGAAAAGGTTTGTTCGGTTTTCAGCTCAAATTAGTCATAAAGACACTTTGAATATCCAATAAAACATAGACGCTACTTCTGCCCCACAAAAATAGTCCATATTAAGTTTTGAAATTTATCCTATATTTGATATAAATCTAGAAACTCAACGTAGACTACTTTTTTGGGCACAAGGGTAGTATTCGGGAAAAAAATAAAAATTAAATTTTGAAACATTAAAGAATTTTTCAATAAACTGACTTGGGTGATGGTTCATTTGTTTCAACGGGGAAAAAAAGCCAAAAGTTAGGAGAACAACCAAATACCAATAATACAGATGATTCATAATAATCATTTTATAAGTGTACGAACTGGATAATTCAACAAGCATATACCAGAATTTTATTCTTACTTATCACAGAGTATTATGGTTAATCGAAAATTACACTTAAATGCTAATTTATCAATTTGTTTTCAGATTTTTGACATAGAAAAAGAGGCACAAAATACTCTGCATGTTACACATCTCAATAATTTTGTGTAAATTTTTTTTTTTGTGTGTGCGTGTTTATATTTGAACCATTTACAAATATTTTTATATTTATATATTTTAGAATTAAGTGATCATTTTTTTAGTTTATTATGATCTATTTATTTGAAATTTAATTAGGTCAAAGTTCAATTAAAAGAGGGAGCACGTGTAATGAAGTAAAAAGAAGAGTGGAGCAGCAGCAGCAGCAGCATAAGAATCTAATATATAAAGAGGTAATATACCAAAAAGTGTTACATTAAATTCATGGAGGATACCATTTGCATTTATTTGGCAGAATCCAGAAGAGTGAACGTGGGGAGCCTGCAGATATATTTGCAACGTGGTGGTGGGTGCAGAGATTTCGTCTCCTTTTTATTTATTTTTTCAATTTTCTTTTTTATTAAAATTCGGCCGTATCTGCATATATTAAAATAAATATTTTTGTAGTCTCTTTCTATTTCTTGCAGTGAAGTCTGAAAACGTCGTTAAAGACAGATAAGTTCTTCTCTCTTCACCCTCCTTTCTTGTCAATGACACATTGCTTATCACACAGACCATATAATGGGACATTTTCGGAGACGTTTTTCTTGTTTTCTTGCTCACCCTGACTGCCCAATGATTTTTCTTGTTGCCCCACTATTTCGTTTCAGAAAAAATATTCATTTAAAATTTTAATACAATAATACTTCCTCCTATTCATAATATAAAATATTTTAATTTGTTCTACATTTCATCTAGTCATGTATTTTTAATTGAAAAAATATTAAAATTATATTTTCACATTCTTCGTGTTCTCCTTGTTAGGAAATGTTTTTAAGATTTTTTGTTAATTAAAAATACGTACTAAATACAAATCAAAATGTCATATATTAAGGAGTAAGTACATAATGTATTATCATAAATAATCAAGAGAAAAAAAAAATACTGTGACCACTGTGTTATGATTATATCAGAAATCTAAATTCAAACTTACACTAATATAATGCGTTTGTCATAGTGCCAAAATTTTTTAAAATTGTATCGACCGTTTAAGTCCACAAATAGAGACCATTTCCAATCGATTAACAAGTACACAATGCTCTAGTTGAATCGAAACAAATTCTCTGTGTTTGAACCAAAAAGGTTATTTATTTTACTCAAAGATATGTAATGTGTTGACTTTTCCTTGATCGAAAAGGCTAGTACTATAATTTCAGGTCAACTTTTACAAATTATTTAAAATTTGTAATTGTTATATCAAGGTAGGCAATTTATTCGTGAACATTTTTTTCGTCTTTTACCATGAGTTTTACTTTAGTCATCTTCAAGTACATGCCTATTTGATAAAGTCACTTAATACTTAAAATTATTGAATTAAGTAATTTTTTCATTTCAACATATTTGATAACAAAAAAATAACTTTTTTTTTTGAATTAAGTGATGCTGAAACTAAAGTACAAGATACTGGTTCTTACTTATTCCGTAACTACTTAACGAATTTATTATTTCTAATTCAGTATTAAACATTCATGACTAATAATTAATTTTTATTAAACATGACCTAAATCATCCAAAGAATTCTTTTGAAACATGTCTTCGTAATATTTGGCATCTAAAAGATTAATTTCTTTGTTATTGATGGTTGAAAAGAATATTTTTTTCCAATACAACAAAATGTAAATACACATGAAATCATTTCCTATGCAAACCACGCGCAGCACAGCTGCGAGTGATTCGGGTTTTTCATTGATTGTAAATATCTGAAGAGAGAAGAAGCAGCGTTTTCAGGGAAAAAAAAAAAGAAAGACGAGAAGCAGTCCAGTCCAAAGAGACCCTGAATGAACGAAACACACACACACACACACACACTCATCAGCTTTTGTTTTCTTTCTCAATTTTCTCTCCTAAACTCAACGAAACTCACTCCCCTCCTCGTGTCCCCCGCCTCCCTTTCCCCCCTTTCTTCTTGGGGGCGTAATTAACCACACAAAATCCGCCATAAACAATACACCCAAAACACAGCCAGCCCCCTCTCTCTCACAGCATAGACTAAGAACAACTCTTCCAGCCTGCATTTTTTCAGTATTTGGGAAAGATACCAAAAACCTTTTTTACTTTATAACAGAGGGCTCTGTTCTTATTCTTTTTGTGGGTTGCTCTGTTTTTTGGGTTTTAAATCGTGGGTTCTTGTTAGTTCTTTTGGTGTACTCAATGGCGACTATCAATTTACCAGGTGGGATGACCTTATCGAAATCGAATACGAGTCGGGTCGTTCCGGATCGTTTGGCGTCGGTGAAGAGTGTTAATGAGTTGTTCTGTTTCAAATCAAGAAGCGGCGGCTGGAAGAAAATAGCTTATTCAGCTCAAGTTTTTGCCGTGAAATCCGGCGAGAGGATTCAATCACCCAAAAGGAGTAGTAACAACTATGTCTCTTCCAATGGCCCTGCTTCTGTTGTAAGTCTCCGATTATAGTTTCTCTGCCAGTCCAGCAGCCAGCATAAGGTTGTTTTTTTTTTTTTCTTTCCAGTAGTTGTTGCTATTTATTGATCCTTTCTGAGACGGATGGAAATATTTGCCTTTTCCATTAGTTTCCCTCTGGTGTAAGAACTTTAAATGCCCTGTATATTAATAATGGATTAATGGAGCACTAGAAAATTTCTTAAAAAGACCTTGAGGAGGGAAGTGTTATGTTAGTAGGAGTATTATTCATGCAGTTAGTGTAAAGACAGTATTTTTGAATTATTTTGTTGGAAGACTTGTAATCTAGAGAGTTCGTGTCAGAAGAAGCCTTTTTAAGTTTGATGGTTGTTTTGGCTTACCTATAACTGTCCTGAAAGTAATAGATGTTGATAAGGACGTCTAATTGTAGGCCAGAGTATAAAATGGAGACACACACTCATGGTTATTTTGTGAGTTATATTTTCATTTGTGGAGGAAAAGACCATATGAGAATTTATGCTGAGACCTGAGAGATCTATGCATTTATTATCTTACCCTTACAAGTGTATAACTTTTGTAAGTTCTTTTTAAGTTTCTAGCTACATGTATCCTCTAGCTGTTTGCAAGTGTATGTTAAGAAGATAATGTGACAAGATAAACTTTTCTGGGTCATCTAGCCCTAAGCAAAGGAAATTGAACACACTCTGTTAGTTTCTCTGGCGTATGGCAAGCTCTTATATACTCATCACTTATTGAAACTTGATTTCTTTTCTAAAGAAAACTTTTTTGATGAAATTGTAAAAGTTAATATATTTTGGAAGTACATCTGAATACAAAAATTAAAATATTAGCAATTTGGCTGTTTGATTGCGATTTCAACTTTTCCCTTGAAATTTTGCTGCAAAAGTTACGTTATCAATCTAACTACCTGTTTGAGAAATGGTGATTTATTCATGTGTTTCTGTGAAGCAAAAATCTTTTTGTTTTCTTCTTCAGAGGGTCTTTCTTTTCTTTTTTTTTTTTTTTCCCCCACTGCTGCAGACTGTACAGACTCCACCTATTGGGAAAAAGGTTTGTTGTTGCTGCTGCTGCTGTTGCTGCATATTGTGCATATTATTGCAATATTCCATTATTAATTTTGAGGGAGCAAAATCTTTCTTCTCAGTCTGGCGATTTTGCTTTGGGATGGACAGCAGTCGATTCCGATCCTTGGAGAAAAACAAAAATCGTGTGCACCATAGGTCCTTCCACAAGCTCTCGTGAAATGATTTGGAAACTAGCAGAAACAGGAATGAATGTAGCTCGTTTAAATATGTCACATGGAGACCATGCATCACATCAGAAAACAATTGACCTAGTGAAGGAATACAATGCTCAGTTTGATAGTAAGGTCATTTCAATCATGCTGGATACTAAGGTTTGTCTATCTCTGTTTTCTGGATTTTCACGTATGTTCACCCACCCTTTACTCTCTGTTGCATGTGCAAAGCATGCCATAACTATTATTGAAGTAAAATAGTAAAGTTTTAACTCGAGGGAAAACTTATTGCTGTTCAGTTTCTAGTAGTTTGATGTTCTATTAGGACCTGAAGGAGAAAGAAGAAAACTTCTGAATTATCTTTATAATATCTAAATTTAGCTTGGATTTGGCCTACCGGGTCACTGTAGTTATCTATATTTCATGCTTATACATTTACGATCTTTTGTTCTTTCTCAAAATGCTAGGGACCTGAGGTCAGAAGTGGAGATGTACCTAAGCCAATCCTACTCAAAGAGGGTCAAGAGTTCAATTTCACCATTAAAAGAGGAGTTTCCACTGAAGACACTGTTAGCGTAAATTATGATGACTTTGTTAATGATGTGGAGGTTGGGGATACTTTATTAGTTGATGGTAATTCAAATTCCACCTATTAAGTTTCTAATTTAGTTTACATGCAAGCTTATAATTTTCGGTATAAGGGGACTGTTTTCATGCCTCAGAACTTCTTGTCAACTGTCCAGTATAAATGTAAACCGTAACTAGCTTTTCTTTCTTTTAGGTGGAATGATGTCTTTAGTTGTAAAATCAAAGACAGGAGATACGGTAAAATGTGAAGTAGTTGATGGTGGAGAGCTGAAATCGAGGAGACATCTGAATGTGCGCGGGAAAAGTGCAACCTTGCCTTCAATAACAGGTGGAATGATACTTTTACATCCCATCCATGTTTAAATTCTCTTACCTTGTTACTGTTTTTTGGATCATTGCTTTTTACTAATGCCGTCAATTTTAATCTCTTTAGACAAAGATTGGGAAGATATCAAATTTGGTGTGGACAATCAAGTTGATTTCTATGCTGTTTCTTTTGTCAAGGATGCTAAAGTGGTTCACGAGCTAAAAGATTATCTCAAAAGTAAGGTGTTTCTTGTCTGATCATGACATCAATGTTTTAGTTTCGTAAACTAGAATTTTAGTCTTGCTTTTTACTAATGACCATTGGAAAACACGTCTGCAGGCTGTAACGCAGACATTCATGTCATTGTTAAGATTGAAAGTGCCGACTCTATACCAAATCTTCATTCTATCTTAACTGCCTCCGACGGGGTTAGTTTGATCTTTCAACTGAATTGTAGTCTTAAAGTTTCTTGTTATGTTCTTCTCGGATCTTCAATCGTCGATTGAAGCTTCTTTCTTTCTTAAATGCGTTACAAAATTTTAAGGATATACATGTTTCTTTGTAACCACAGCTTATATGTTTTCATCTGTCATCTCAAGCGTTTTTAGTATTATCCTTAATGTGTTTAGGGGGGGCCATAGATGTGTAGGCTTTATTTGTTTGGCGTTGAAGATTGTAACTGATACGAGAAGGTTAAGCGTATTCATCGCATTGCTGTGATTTCAGAAAGCTTTCCACTTATTTTTTTTTACGTTTTTTTGAGTTATGTATGTCTTGCATAACATTCATGCAGTTTCATTTTTCCGTTCTTTTGCATGCTGCTTTGTGCTCAAAGCAATATGTCCAAGCAGATAAACTAGCTTCTGCTTTGTCATTCTAAGTCATTGGTGTCACTTTTGAAGACTTAAAGAAGTGATGCTAAGAAATCCATTGTCTAGATATTGATAATGTAGAAAAGTTATGCTTAGTTGAAATTGTCAAACTAAGATATTACTTGTGTAGATGAAAATCTTATTGGATGTTGGGTGTGTGGTTCTTAATGTTTCATGATTAATGATAGGCTATGGTGGCTCGTGGGGATCTTGGAGCTGAACTACCAATTGAGGAAGTCCCTTTATTGCAGGTATCCTTCTTGCTTCCCTGGTACATAGTGATCATCCATAATGCATCTGGCTCTGCACATTACCTCATCCTTAGAAGACAGAAATGGAGCTTTCAATTTCACTTAGGAGGTTCAAATGAATTTGTCTCTTATTTGGTCCAATGTTTTAGTTTTACAACCTATGGCATCACGGCATTACCTTTTGTTCCAAGACTTTTGGTTGTATGACTTTGATAGTTCAAGGAGAGCACCTTTTTTTTTTTTTTTTTTTCTCCCTGTGTGCCACTTATATGCCATGAATTCCTGATCTGCTCCTTGAAGGAAAGCCTTGAATCTTAGCAATAAATATGGCTAGGTTTTTTGATGTAGTGACTTGCTTTTGAAGGTTTAAGTAGAAGTAAGATGGGGGTTATGTGAAGTTCATTAGTAATAAAGATTCAAAATCAAGCAGTAGTCTAATTATAAAAAGGAAAGGCTGCATCTCAATAGTTTGCAATAGTAGATGATAAAAGTCACCAACATTATTCTGAAGATATGATTTTCACATTATGAATTTATGTAATAGGAAGACATTATTAAAAGGTGTCGAAGCATGCAAAAACCAGTGATTGTTGCTACAAATATGTTGGAAAGCATGATTGACCATCCGACGCCGACAAGGGCTGAAGTTTCTGACATAGCAATTGCAGTGAGAGAAGGTGCTGATGCGGTAATGCTTTCGGGAGAAACTGCCCATGGAAAGTACGTTTGATCCCAAGTTTTTCTTTTGTTCTTCTCCAGTTGAAATTCCCTATTTTGTTTTTACAATTCTGGTTGGGCCACACTTTCATCCTTTCCATTTTCTCTTTCTTGTTTTTGCAAATATAATATTGTAATTTGTTTTTTTTTTAAAAAAAAATGGATGGCCCCAGCGAAAATCGAACCCTCAACCTCCTGGTAATAACCATCCCCCATCCTAATCCCCTAACCACCCCACCCAACCCTCCCACCCCTCCTGGTAATATAATATTGTAATTTGTTGCCTTAGGTTTAAGTCAGTAATAAATTTTGCAAGGAGAAGAAATTTCTGCTTCTCATATACCTGGAATATGTATACCTGTATATATATATATATATATATATATATATATATATATATATATGCTTGCGGTAACATGTTTATTGTAACCCTGCCTTCCCATAGTAATATATGTACAGTTCTTCAGTTTTGCAATTTTTAATGGTTGGATTCATCAAGTTGCACTTGTCTTTTCCTCGTGCAACCGTAGTGTAGGATCTTAAGACTTTTTTCTACTAACCTTGGGGAAACCGCAGGGGGAGAGGGATCGTGTAAGTATGAAGAATTTGTCTTCATGATAAGAAGTTGTGGAGTGAGGTTCCATTCATATTTATGAATTATTGATGTGGGATTATTTGCTACATGAATTGCTCTTGGTTTTTACTTCCGTTGACCTCCTAAAAATTCTCAGGTTCCCATTGAAAGCGGTTAAAGTAATGCACACCGTGGCATTGAGGACTGAATCCAGCCTATCAGCTGCCAGTAGTCCTTCAAGTCCATCATCAATTACATATAAGGTTGGCTAAGGCTCTAATCAACCTCATACAGTACTTTGTTTTCTGTAGCTTTGATGACGTACAAAATGCTTCCACATGCAGGGCCATATGGGAGAAATGTTTGCTTTTCATGCAACCACGATGGCTAATACGTTGGCTACACCCATCATTGTTTTTACAAGAACTGGATCCATGGCTGTCCTTTTGAGTCATTATCGACCTTTCTCAACAATATTTGCTTTTACAAATAAGTACGTGAAGACATCGGTTATACTTCTATATTACAATTACGATTGCATCAAGTGTTTCTGTTCTGAAAACAATCTTTTTTCCTACCAGTGAGAGGGTGAAGCAGCGGTTAGGTCTTTATCAAGGTGTTATGCCAATTAATATGGAATTTTCAGATGATGCAGAGGAGACATTTTCTCGAGCATTGAAGATGCTCTTGGTTAGTTACTTCTGTCCAAATTTTGATGAGTGTAAATCATCAATTCTTGAGTTTTAATCATTCGTCATCCTCTGTGTGTAGAGCAAAGGTCTTGTAAAGGAGGGGCATTTTGTTACTCTTGTCCAAAGTGGAGCTCAGCCAATATGGCGTCGGGAATCAACTCATCATATTCAAGTTCGCAAGGTCCAGAGCTAGTTATCTCATTTTTCCAATTTGTTTAGAATTGAAAGGGTTTTTCGATAGAAGTTACATCAGTGGTATAAATTGGTTTTGTTTTGATATCTTCTGCCCAATAGATACTTTGTTGGCAGTATGAAAATAGTTGAACTTCTGAATGAGGCACCGAAGTTTTGATCATCAACGATTTTGTAATCACTGCTATAGATACAGACGAACTAGTTTTCACCTGGTCGTTTTTTTTATTATTACGTTTTAGTCCGTCCACTCGCCATGTTTTTCACTTAGAATTAACGGCAACAGTTTGATTTGCCGAATCCTTTGTTACGTTGCCTCCAACAGTGTTGGAAAGCGCTGCTTGTGATCTTGTGGGTTTCATTGGATAAACTGTCCTTTCATTGTGTTTGTGCAACACCATTTGTTTGTTAATAAAATTTGTGCAATACTCCTAATCTTTGGTTGCACGAATGTATATTTGCTCTCTTTTTTTTTTATAAATTGACACCCAAAAGTTATTATAAAAGCTTTTAAATTGGATACATAACATGAGTTTTGTATCGCCAAGAAGATGAGTAGAGAAATAAAACAATTCTTACAACTGTAAAAGACCAAAATTTATCTTAGAGGTAGGCCGTTTTGAAGGCTAGAAGCTTCTGCTTCTTCGCTTGCTACATTTCCATGGACAACAAACGAAAAATCGTTCATTTAAAGTGTAAGGGACTAGAAGTTTTCATTTTGTAAAATATGAGGGATTATCTCTGTGATTTATTCCTATACTCGTGGCGTTTTTGGCGCGTTAATGTGTTTGGGTTAAATTACAAGTTTCCGGGTTAGAAGCAAAATCGGGTATTGTACCCTAAATTCCCGATTCCTCGTTCATCATTTTTGCTTCCACACTTGCCATTCCCCCCCGTCTGAGAATCTGGTTTCTCAACCTGAGAACCAAATCATTCCCTTCGAAGCAGAGGTGGGAACCGGCGCCGCCAGATGCAGAGTCGGCGAGCAAGTGCCGCTATTGATTCCCTCGTAAGTTCACATTCTTATTTTGTAATTTTTTCCGTCTTAGAACTTGTTATCAATTCATGTACGAAAGAATATGTACGGCGCCAAAGCTTCTCTGATTTTTCTTTGTAATGATTCGTTCTGGAATGGAGTCCTAGGAATTCTTCCTTGATTGTGTCCTGCAACTAGGATTTAACCTTTTTTGGGTGATGGAAATCTCGACCTTGTTTATAGTGCATTATACTATATCAATGGTTGTAAGAAATCCTTTGGCGTAAAAATTTGTCGTTATCTGCTCGATTCTGTTGGAATTCGTAGGCATATAACCCAACCGTTTGCTTGGTTTTGTCTTGTGCTATCATCTAAGTTGCTCGGTAATGGCTAAAAATTTAATTCATCGAAAGGATAGAAAGAAATGAGTATAGCCTGCACTTAACAATGTAATGATGTACATCTCTGCCCTTTTTGGCTTTTTTTTTCCGTGAGAGGGCACATCAGAAAGCTAATCCATAGTTGCAGAACAGTTCAACTTCTGAGTTACTCCAAAGGACCCTCTCCGTCCCCAAATGATTGTCCAGTTTGGATTTTCACTTTTAGTACAAATGTTGCTAAGAATGAAAATTAAAAGTGGACTATTATTTTGGGACCGAGGGAGTGAGTATAATTGTCTAGACAACTTCGTCATGCAGCTATTCCACCCTTTCTTGAAAATATATAACTTCTGATCTTTAAGCATGATGGCTGCATTTCTTTTTTGATGTTTCTTGAAAACAAAAATACTATACAGCCACATCAGGAAATGAACCTTAATATTATTTATGCTCTTGATTGGCATTGTAATGTAGTCACTTAAGGCTACATGAGCTACGATTGTAGTACAAGGTAGAGGGCTCCAATCGTATACATTTGCCATGAAAGCTACTTATTTCATCTCTGCTAGGAGTTTTGGTTTAGGGGTATCTTTTGTCAATGAGTTCGTCGTATATGTGACGATTCATAATGGTTGACTACTTAGTGTCTATGCAGCCCCTTTGCAACATTCTAAAGATTTTCTACTTGTATTTCTTTTGGGCACAGAATTAAAAGAAAAGTTATAATTGCAATGTTCTTCAGTTTGCTTTCTTAAAATATTATTCTTAGGTTTCTTACTTCATTTTCTTATCATTTAACTCCAGTTATTGGAGGATGAATATGAGAGTTCTTCAGCAAGGATCCGAAAGAGGTTTATTATATATACATATATCACCTTGGCTTTGTTATTTGCTTGGTGGAATGAAGAGAATTTGGTGGAAGAATGTATCGACGAAGAATCAGAATTGTCTACGGCAGAAGATCCAGTTGGGACTGGTGATGAGAGCCCACTTGAAGCGGACGATGCTAAGAGCACTTCATTGCATGGAAGAAAACGTAAGAAGAGAGAGTCATCAGCTTCATCCAGTTCTCAAGGCAGAGAGAGAACTTCTCAAGCTTTCTGTGATGCCTTGAAGCGGATGGCTGATTCATTTCATGAAATCTTGATGATGGAAAGAGAAATCGTGGCGATGGAGACAAAAAAAGCTACCGTTGAAGAAGTGTTGAGAGAACTAAAGGTAGTTGATCTGGATGAGCTACAAACGATCAAAGCTGTGGATATAATGATGCAAGACCAGATAGCGTTTGAAACATTTGCTGGCCTGCCAAGTGATTTGAAAAAGCCATGGGTTTTGATGCACATTGAGAAGTAACTTAACAGATTTGCCTGTTATTAGTGAAGTTCTTTGTACTTCTTTCCTTAGCTAGTCTTTTTGTTAGATAAGTGTGTCGAATGAAGCGTTAATTCTAAAAGATACCAAAATGTTGCAGAAACATTTCCGTTTCCTGTAGGAATCTACAAGATGAAGTCTTGCCTTACTAATGTACCCAAAGTTTAACCTTTGAATTCACTTGTGTACATACCCTAATGTTTAATACACATCTTCTTTAATTTCCAGTATGTGTAAATATATAGATTTATCCGTAGTGAGTATAAATTTTGTAATTCCTGATATTCCATGAAGAAATAAAAAATAACAGTAATAAAAATTACTACTATAATAATAACTTGGAATGGTGAACTGTTGAGTGGTAGCAAAATCCTTCAGTTTCCAGAAGGAAACATAAAATCCGAATCAAAGATGACTTTGATTTGGAGGGGGTGATGGTTAGCCAGAAAAATAATGGAGTTTTTGTAGGAGAAAATGGGGAGAGAGATTAAATTAGGCGGTGACATTTATAAATTGTTTTTTTTCTCATTATTACTGCCGCTGCTGTAAATTCGCCGGAAGCCAAACTTTGGTGTGGAGGGTGATCATGACTCATAAGGTACATCCTCTAACAAACCTTTTCTTTATTTGTCTAATTTCATCTTTTTTAATTGATGGCAGAATTTACCGTCTGTGTTTTGCTTTTGTTAATGTCCTTGCCGTCCAGTGTTCCCTGTTTGAAATTCACATCAACCATGGAATGATGGCCTTTTGATTTTATTGTTTGGTTATTAGTGATTCTGCCTCTCAATAGATCAGAAGTATTTAATTGTTTACCTTTTTTTGGGTTTTTTTTTTTTTTTCTTTTGGTTGATTATAACTGCTTGCCAAACTACTTGATGAGGAAAATTCGAAAATGTGCTTCAATGATTATGAGATTTTGCTGTCTGTTGCGGAAAATTTTTATGCCAGAGAGAATATAGACCAGTCGGAGAAGCCATTCCATATCCTGTCAATTATATGGCAAACGAATGGTGCTCCTAATCTGTTCGGGTTTAGGAAATGTATCTTAGCTATGGAGAAATGAAAGTAAGTTCTGGTGCCTGTGGCGCTCTGAAAAGGATCATTAGGAATTTGAGGAATAGTACTCCTTTCTGAAATAACTTCTGGTTTCTAAATGTTGCTTCTCTATTATCATGTGTTTAATTCTGCAGTATAGCCGATAGTGCACTTATGGATAAATTGTAAGTTGTAAGTTGCATGTAGGTGCAATTCCACACACCAATGGCAACCATTTTGGTGCTTTGTTTGGGGGTTGGTGCGGTAGAGACTTTCTCTGACTACCACTTGATGTGAACTGAGTTTTTGATTCAGTGTAAGCTTGTTACTCTCTTCTTGAGCTTATCATATCACATTCTTTCATTTACTCAGCATTCAACTGCCATGTTGCTATTAAGTTATGCAGTATGATTAACTAAGTCCTCTCTATTGTTTAAATTCTCTCTTGTAAATTGTGATAGTTATCCATGCATGCATGTTAATCCTGTCCTTATGAAGCCTTGTGCCTGTGTTATAATGCAATGATGCCTTTTCTGCTGCCCAAATGATTGGGAAAGTCTAATATGCACCTCTTCAACTTTTCTTTGATTGTGAAGAATGTTTGATACAATATTTTTTTTTTTTTTATAAAGAAAAAAAAAAACTTTTTCTTTGTTTAATGTTGAGGAATTTGGCATTGATTGTAGTTTGTTGTGTTTCACCTAGGTGCGAAGTGTTTGTTTTGTGTTACCTTTAAAGACTTGGTCCTTGCTTTGTACTGCTATAGAAATCATAAGCATTCGGATGCCTTTGAAAGTTCTCATTCCTTGGGCAATGAGCTTCTTCTAGTTCTCTGGAGCCTAAGCAGCATAGGGACACAGAGAAGAGAGGGAATGCTTTGATAAGCGCCCTAGAAATAGAAAAGGCTGTCAATTTTTCTAGGTGTGAAAGTTTTTTAACGTTTTTAGTTCATACACGACTTCCTAGTACCTTGAGTGAAACATCTATAAGTCGAAGATAACTGTTCATGTTTGTAATCTGTAACTGAGGGAGAGGAAAAAGGAGGAATTATGCAGATCATATTTCATTGTTAAAAGTACTTGTGAAGAAAGGGAAGCAAAGTCAAGAAAAATGTAGTACTTTACCAATCTTCAAAGGTCAAGTTTCTCTTCCATGATATCGTAGAAATAGCTGACATGCTCAGTCCTTCACCCAAGAAATACAGAACTGACTTTCTTTGTTCACATTTAATTTCCATAAACTTTGTCCAGACTAGTACTCCCTTTGTTTCTATATTTACGCCACCCCAGTTTAGGATCACTTTTACACTGTTGTTAAATGCAAATGTATTTCTTTGTCCTTATATTTGCTTCATTCCCACTTTCTTCTTCCACAGTTATTTTTCTCCTCAAGCTTACTATTTTCTCTTAGCCCTAGTTATTCTCAACAAGTTCCTTTGCTTTGGTAATGTGTATGTGCTCCCAGAACTATGCATCTAGGGTGTTTAACTTCTAAGAATGCGTATTTGTTTCCCAACCCTACTATGCATTAACATTACTGTTCTTTGGATATCATCTCGGCCATTTGACAGCAAGCAAATACTAGCAATGATATACTGTTACTTTTGAGCTGTTAATCATTATGTTATTGATCCATATTCTTCTTTTTCTCTGCCTAATGTTCTCCTGAATTATAGAGTGGAAGAAAACATGAATAGAGTAATTCATATAGGGTGTACTGTCAGATGTAATGATTATCTGAACCTTGGAGAATCGACTACTCAGTGGTGAAGTCCAGATTTATCTCTTAATGGAACAGACTAAAGAGGACTAAGAAATTAAAGTTTACTAATACAAAATGATAAACAAATGGAGGTGGAAACAGAACCCAGACTATCTATCACGTACATAAATCATCTTCATGGTTCTTCTGAATCTGCTGTTAAGAGGGCCTTAGTCAAACTCATAATCGATCTTGAAAGAAAACTGTACAAACAATCTTCTGCTGCTGCCACCCTGCCAACTCCTGCTCTTATTTAGATGGTCTCAAATCACATCCTGGGAACACATTCCAGTCTTGTTATACATGTATCACACTCCATAATCCTCCTCAGTGTCTTTGATACATTTCCCTTCGATCTTGACATTTTTGTACCATCTAGCGCAGGCAATGTAGAGCACTAAATCCAGTATTGTCAAACCAGCCAAGAGAAAGTAAAAATTGTCTAAATGACCAGAGTTGAGGTTTACTGGAATCCAACCAGACATATCACCTTTAGTAGATATTTTCATCACTATGCTCACCAGCAAGCTGCTAACATAGTTCCCTAGAGAAATTGATGTCATGCAAAGTGCACTTCCGAAACTTTTAAGTCCATCAGGTGCTTGTGCATTAAAGAACTCCAGTTGACCTACATACATGAAAACCTCGGAAGCACCTATCAGAGCATATTGAGGCACCTGCCAGAATATGCTCAATGTACTTGAGCCTTCACAGTTCATGCAGTCTTGGATGGCATATTTGCGCCTATAGTTCTCCACAACTCCAGCAGAAAGCATTGCCATTACAGCTATTACAAGCCCAACTCCCATTCTTTGCAGTTCCGTCAGCCCTTTTGAATCTCCTGTTTTAGTGAGCCCTTTGGAACCTCTGTTCTTAATCCTGCTAACCAGTGGATCAAGGATCCGCCTATAGAAAAATATGAAAACTGCTACGCTAAGTATGTCAAAGCTAGACATGCTGGCAGGAGGAATTCGGAAGTTTGAAATTGTTGTCTTCATGGCTGCACCTTGCTCGACGAATATGGATGCCATTTGAGTAAATACCACTGAATAGATTACAGTGCAGAGCCAAATTGGTAGCAATCTTAGTATGCATTTTACTTCTTCAACTTGTGAAATAGGGCAGAGACGCCACTGGTCATATTCTCCTCCTTTCTTGTTATCGAAATCCCTTGAGGTGATGAATGCTGCTTTGTCCAGGAATCTGCATTACGTGAGACAATTGTGGCTTAGCATGAATCAAAAAAACGATTGAAAGGTAGGACTGGACATATGATGATTAGCTTAGTGTGAGTATGATATGCTTTGGTACTAAACTTACTTGAAACCATGTGTATGGAGCATCTTTCTCACGCCAGTAGGACTTCCCTTTTCTTCCGCTTCAAATAGCTCATCATCATCTTGTGTTATCTCAAGTCTCCATTTCCTTGTAGCTGCCACAAATACCTGACAAAACCGTGAAAGAGGATTTCCACTAGGTCTGAAGTGTCGATATCTTTTGGTGCCGGTAAGGAAGAGTATCAATGCTGCAAAGGCAGAAGCGGTAGACATCCAAAACCCAAGGGCCCATAGTCCTTCATCCTCAAAGTATCCTAGTATAGTATTAGAGAAAAGTGAACCAAGGTTTAAAGCCAGGTAAAAATAGCTGAAGAAGGCTACTTTTGAATGCCCTTCCTTTGGATCCTCTTCATCAAACTGATCAGCCCCAAATGTTGCAATGTTTGGTTGGTACCCTCCATTTCCTAGAGCAACCAGGTAAATGGAGATGTAAAATAAACCAATCACCCAGCTTGAATGGGGCGCACAAGGAGTTTCCTGATTCCCACAACCTTTAGGTTTGAGCAAGAGAAGCTGCGTTGATAGTGATAAAGCTGCCAAGCCCTGAAACAAGAAGCAGTCAGTACCACAGGTCCACCGAAACAGTGAAAGTCAATTTTGATCATTAATTATACCTCGAAAATAGATTAAATGGGGATGCACTTACAACAACAAAGATGACTTGGAAGATGGCGCATGTTTTATATCTTCCCCAGTAAGAGTCACTTAGGAAGGCACCGACGAGTGAGAATATGTAGACGGTTCCAGTCCATTTGCTGACGCTGTTAGCAGCATCAGCGTTGTTTTGTTGCAGGACTCTTGTCAGGAACAATACCAAGTTCACCCCAATTCCGAAGAATGCTAGTGTAGCCAGGCCTTGATTTACTGCACAAATTCAGTCGAGGGAACAAATTGTTAGCGTTATTAAGGCAAAGAAGTATTAACACAACCACTGCCTGATGTGTTTGAAATTGCAAGAAGTAGCTACTACTTTCATTATTGATCTGCTGTTTTGCAAAATTGAGAAGCACATTCCACCTTTTGCTTGTAAATTAGCAGAGGGGAACAGAACTAAGTTGTTCTTGTTCCACTTGGTAGACAACAAAAGCTTTAAATTCAAACAACAAAGCCTATTTGGATGAACAAATTGATCTTTTCAGTTTCATGGGAGGGAGATCATTCAATTTTCTCCAACTAATTTACTCTTGTCTAATTATTTAGTGAAATAACATTTTTTTTCTTAAAAAAAAAAATAACATACACACAAAATACTAGTACTTTGCATCTAAATTTGCAACTCCATTATTGCTTGACATATTCATCTCGCCAGTTGTTATGTAGCCGACGAAAGATATCATACCATTTCAATTTTGCCATCTAAATTTCACTCCGAAAGTAATAAGTTAATAATAATCATTTTAGAACAGAAAGAATCATAAAATATATGACCCATATCGGCCTGACCACATTAATTCATTTATTACAACACATTATGGAAAAAAAAAGTCCGTTCACCCTTGTATTTGTTATTTTTATTTTTATATAGTGAAGAATCGAATATATAAAAATGGTGAAGGTGATGAAATGAATGAACAGAAATGACGTTGTGGAAATAAAATCAAAAAATGCCAATCAAATTATATCATCAAATCAAACAAACAAAAAAAATCTGTTGATTGGGAAGATTTCCAACTCATCAAAAGGGAGAAGAGTATTTGTCCAAGAAGCAAAGTTTAGACAGGTGGCACCAGCCAGACGTCATGCAAAGGAGTTCTCCGTTTAATTACGTGTCAGTCAAGTCTTTCTATAATCTTAGCTCATCCTTCAAAATCTTTGCATGCATTCCACGCCCCCCATCCTCATGTTTTCTCTCATTCTTTTTTCTTTTTCTATTCTTTTTTTTCTTTTTCATTTCGGTTAATATAATTTTTTTCCACATAATTTCGGGGGAAAAAAGATAATTTGGAATATTTTTTGGGTTACTTTTTCTTTTTTATAAGTCAGTTTTGGTGGTGTTTTTATTTCCACGAAAATTTGACACTTGGCATTTGGCATTTGTGTTCAAATCAGGAAAAGTTACACTTCTCTCGATTACACACAAAACACTTTGTCTTTTTTCCAAGATAGTGATGGTTTTCTCTCCACTTACTACTATTATTTTGCAACACATAGTAAAAAAAATAAAAAATAAAAAAAAAATCCATATTTTCTCTCTTTAATCGTACGTAACTTTGTCTAACAGAAAGGCGTAGAAACTACTATTCCGTCTGGCGTTATGCACAGCAAAATCGTATCTTATAAATAAAAAATCAGATTGAAACCCAAAATCAGTTTCGTTGTTGTGTTATCTCATCTGGATTTTCGGTGTTACAGCTCTTTCTAGAATGTACCTTAATGGAAACAATTTTTTTGCAAAAAAAAAAAAAAAAAAAAGTTTCATATCTTTCTTTCCAAATGAACACGACCCATTAATAGCCTGTGCTGATTCTGAGGCGGCGGCCCGTCCCCATTTAAAAACAAAAATGATTAAAAAGAAAAAACCTAATTCTAGAAATATACTAAAAACCAAAAAAAAAAAAAATAATTTAAAAAGTAGTAGTAGTAGTAGTAGTAGTACTATTAATAGCTGAAATGGAGGAGACCAAATTCTAAAGTATACAGTACAAAATAAAATCAAGTCAGGGGAATGGATAAACACAGTTGCATATCTTATTATACAACTGCTTCAAATTAGATAAGCTCTACAAAATATCATAAATCATAAAAAGAATTTCTTTTCCCAAGAAATATAAAAAAGATTAATCCGTTTAATAAATATATAAAGAAAATACATTAACACACATGTAAGGGGAGCTTCAAAAGTAGCTTACCAAGAATGATTCCTCCAGCAAACCATCTTCCTGTTTTTTCACGGATTGCCGGACGGCCATGCAAATCCACTGTTCCATCCGAAGTGTAGAAACCTTCTTGATCCTCTTGCAATTTCTCCTACAAAAAGAAAAAAAAAAAGTTCATTCTATTTAATTCCTTATGATCAGTTTACTTGCATGAGTACAGGCAAAATGTGCTTATAAAGTTGACTGTGTGTGTGTGTGTGTTTTGGTCTTCTTTTGTGGGTGGAAATTTGGTAGCTTTTTCTACTCAAAATGGCTAGCTAGAGATACATATGCAGTGTTTGTGGTGTGGTTCAATGTGGGATTGTGTCATTTATAGCTTTCTCTTTAAAATGGTGGGATTAATAAGAGAAAAATGAAAGAGGGGGGATGATAAGCAAAGATTAATAAACACTGACCTCTTTAGAGACTTGAAAAGAAGAAGCCATTGATGAAGATGAAGATGAAGATGAAGATGATGATGATAGGAAGCAAACAAAAGGTTTTGGCAGCTAAAGTTCAAGTTGATGGAAGAGAGGAATTAGTTGGCAATTTGGGAAGATGAACAATATGTTGGAATATGGAAGAGGAGGACAAATTAAGACTTGGATTTGTTGAAGCAAGGGAGGAGCTGGTTATTATATATATATAGAGGTTGAGGAAGGGAATGGACGGAGAGGATTAACAAGATGATGATGATGATGAAAGGGGGGAAAAAAAAAGAAGAAAGAAAAATTGAAATACAACATCCAAATTTGCAGAAAATAATTAAAAAAAAAATGTGATGCCAATGGGAATGTATAAACATGATGAACAGTTGTGCTGAACAAAGTGCTTTTTACAGAAACTTATGTTGTCTCTCATTTGGTTACTACTTTGATATTGACATTGGACAATCCATTATTATAAATTGAAGTCTTGGCTGAGGATTATAAGGGGCTTATGGTTAATTTTCGGGTGCAAAATTAAGGATGGGGAGATTAATGATTTGACATTTTGTAGGCCCCTTTACTACCAATTTCCAGGTTGAGAAATTTTCAGAATTTATTTGAAATAGTAACCCAAATAAAAAGGACAAAACAAAAAAAATAAATAAATAAAAAGAAGGAAGGAGAAAGAAGAAAAAAAGAGAAAAGAAAACGAAAATTTCATTTCCACTTTTCATTGAACTTCTTTTTCTTTACATTCTGTGTCTTTGTATGTATACAGCTAGCTACTGACAATTCATGGTAAAAAGAAATAAATGTTATTTTATCTTTAGTACTAGCCTACTAGGGGCGTCAAAATACGAATCAAATAACAATATATGTTCATTTAAAAAAAAATAAAAATAAAAATAACAATATATGTTCTAATATAAATTCTAATACTATTATATCATGACTAAATTATTCCCGCATTTCAGCAAGGATCACCCAAAACTTATATACATAATGGTAAATCAGTTGAGATGGGGGCCTCATGGATCAGTCTTATTATGTCTTCTGAGTTTTACTTATTCATTATGGAAAGTTTACAATTTTCCTCCTTTGACCTTCTAACATAGATCACTTTCTTTTCAGATGAAATTAAAACCCACAAACCCTAAATTCCTAAATATAGCCACATTTATTTCATGCTTGATTTGATCGTGTATACTTCCAGTACACATCATGTGTAGTGGGGTTCTCTGTTCTGCCATGGCCAAAAATGTAGAAGCAATGTCAACAGAAGAGGTGCTACTATATTAATGAAGCAACAGTCTCTCTAAATTAAGGTGCATCTTTCAACTGTTCAAAAGTTTAAAGGATATTTTCTGATTTGGCTACATACTAAAATGTAGTAAACCTAGAGTAAATGCGGATGTAATGATACTTTTTCAAAAAAATAAAAAATAAAAAAATATTTACCTAATAAACCCCACTTAAATGTAGGTAAAATTCCCTTACGTACTCCTTGGTGGAAATTGTTTCCAAATCTAATGCAAAAAAACATAACATCTCAGACCACTCAACTGTTGTTCAATTGCCATGCGGACGTAATGATACCTATAATTACAAACTAGATGCTTGCCCGGGGTGCCGCCTGTATTTATAAATCGATTAAATAAAAAATACGAATCATTCTTAAAAGAATAAAAAAAATAGAAGAATAAAAAATCGATTGAAAGGACAGAAAGTGAGTTATTACACATAAATCTATGCCCAGATTTATAACATTTAATTTACAACAGTTAACTTATGCCTGAGTTTACATAAATCATAAACCAATATCTACAATAAAAGAATAAAAAAAAAATCATCCTTAAAATATCAAATTTCTTTCATGACAGCTTATTTTTTCTATGTTGTAGAAAGAGATGGATTGATAATTGATGTCAGATTTTAAGTAATTGATTTAAAGGCCCGAGTGTGAGAGAGGCGCGGAATGGAAGAGATTTTTTAAAATTGAGGATTGTGAAGACATTACTGGTGTTTCACTTGATTTAAGGAGATTTCCTTACATTTGATTTTATCAATTAAATGTTGTTGTTTTAAGAGATTAGTATATACTTATAATTAAGAGATTTTTATGTAATTATAATTAAGGGATTTATGTATTTATCTATTCCATCTTTTTTTTCTAATTAGTTAGAGTGACACGTGTCAAAAATAATTTTATACTGAAAATAGCTTTTGGTGGGAAAATTTTTATTGTGGTGCTGACACATGTCCTTTTTATTTGCTGGTTTAATTAAATACTATATATTCGTACAAAATAATGCTTCGCGAACTATTTGATTCCGGAAGATTTTCACTCTTCTCATTTATTTAAACTTTGCCTAATCACTTGTATTATGTATTCCATTTTGATGTAAAGATCACAGATCTCTTAGAGTTTTTGTTTTGTTTCATGCAGTGTTGACTGGGTACTGGGTTGTATTAAAATTTCACCCAATTGAAATGAAAAATCAATTTCATAAAAAAAAAAAAAAAACAAGAAGTGAGAATCGGGTTATTATTTCCGAATTTTAATGATTACATAGCTGAATTTTAATTATTTTTTAATTTTGTCTCTTTATAATCAGATTTCCTGAGAAAATAGGTGCTTATCACGAGCAAAGGAGATTAGTCACTATTACCGACGGCAAACACCCTGCAATATGAAAAAAAAAAAGATTTCCTGAGAAAATGTCAAAATGGTAAGCATATTTGGTTAATCTTTATCAAGTTTAATTTTAGCCAAGTAATCATGAACATAATGTACTAACTTGGTGGAAAAGTTTAGCAAAACCATATGAAGGTAGTGGAAGTATAAAATGATTACATTTATGTAAATTTTAGAAGTATAACAGAAATACATTTTTCTGTGAACATTGGTGTGCTCATGGCTAACAAATTACTACATTTTGTTGGTTCCATTTTCGTCATATACAACAAATATATTGACTATAACCATTTCATTTCCTCCATTCCTATAAACTCCCAAATCTCAATTTCGCTTTGGATGTCATATTCAAGTACCACAATTACATTAATTTGGTGCATGTTTCGTGACAAACTTGAACTAATATGGCATCATATCTACAGGGGCTAGTTTCGATCTTTGTTTGTAAAAGCCACCATCAGTAAAATTTCCCAAATTTTTGTTATGCTATTCCCACTTAGGAAGTAGTACCCTTTAATATGTGCAATATTTAGACAGATTGACCCAATAAACTTTCATAATCTTGAGTAACAACCCATGCTTTCATAATAATATAACTGACTGGAATATGTTATTCAAACGGAAGCATGTTACAATCATTATTTGAGTCTACTTATCCCTCTCAAAATCAACACCTGCCAATAAAAGACTATGCATGACTTTTCTTGGCTCTGACAATCCTTCCTTTTTCTTATTTTCTAGTATTATATAGTGAGAATAAACTATACCAATAATACCATCAAGTTCTTATTTCATTAGAGAGTTATCCAACGTTTATAAATCTCATTCCAAATATATTAGATAGTATGTTGCAAAATTCACTTCCCCATATAATGTCCCTCAGTTGCGCTGTCCAATATTACACAGCAGCTCCAAAATTCCTTGGATCAAGCCATTGTGAATACCCTTCCTATATATTAATTTTATTAATCAAACAAAGTCATACTCCTACCGTCTCAAAATATTATCCAGTTTAGTTTTTCATTTTTAGCACAAACAAAACTAAAAGTGACTATTCAAACGGATAATTATTTTGGGACAAAGCGATCAAGTACAACTGTTATTTGGAAAATATTTCATTTGATCCCCATTTGGATGATATTTCTTATCTTTTTCATTGAGAACCACACAAAAAATGGTGACATTTTCATAATATATGGAGTATAGGTTATTGCATATAGATTGTAATGAAATACATACCTACATTCCTAACCTTAACAAAAGTTGCAAATATTCGTTCAATTTGACCACGCGATTGTGCTGTAATCAACACCCGTATTTCCACCAAACAGAAAAAAACATCTTCTATCTGGTATAAGGTGATGAAATTTACTGGAATAAAACTAAGCATGGTTTTGGCAGCACCAAAATATCAACTTGTCTTTATTTCCATAACGTTTTAAATCTATGGAAGCAAAACAGTTACGGCTGACTCAAAACATTTGTTCAAATTTACTACTATGACAAACGAAGCTTCATCAAACAGCTAGAAGAAGCAAAATTTGGACAACAAATCACATTCTTAATCCGTTGGGAAACCAAATGTATATAGTGATGACGTTAATGAATGATACATATTGATGGTTTTGGCCAAATTGATTGATAATAAGGTTAGCTGTTACAGCAATGCACTCTTTTGATAGGGTCAGCGGAAGATGAAATAGCCTTTTTTTTTTTTCCGGTTTTCTCTCTCGCGAAATTTGATTTATTTTTTCTATGTGTAAATATTGAGAACGATGATTTTTCACATTAAGAAATTAATGTAACGCCCAAATTAGTTAGAGAATCTTATGATTAGTGAAAGTTATAGTATCGCGTATATGTTTCAATCATCATCGTGAAAATTCACCAGAGATTTCTGTTGATTTTATAATTATTCTCGTAATATATATGCTATCTATATATCAAAGTTAATCATGTTTCAATCTCTTCAATGTCTTTGAGTTGAATCTCATGTTATATATTTCAACACAAATTAGTAGTTTAAAACACGTTTTTGCTTTAATTAGTTTTTGTTGAATTAAACAAATCCCACAACTTCAAATATCAAGAATTCTTCCTAATAGAGCCATAGACATATATACTTCAACTGAACCAACATTTTTTTTTCTATCCCATTGAATGTATAACTTCTTTGAAAAAGAAAACTATAAATTGGATCCGAGAGGTCCATTATTTTACGTTGACAAAACAGTGTTTTGCATGAATCCTCAGGGTAATGCATCCAAATTTTAGGCCCTACAAAGCAAATTGGTGGACTGGAATGGTCATTTATCATTTCTTTTTCACTAGATCTCATCGTCAACCAGCCGAAAGAACTGTTGATCAAGGTTTGTCCTGTTCTATGTGTACCAAAAATCGTGCATATATATTTTGGTGGTGATCTTCATTTTTTCATTCTGCCAATGTTTGATCATTGCTTCACTAAATAGTAAATATTTGACCCCTTTTTCATTCCGTTTTTTTTTTTCCCTGGAAACCAATCAAACCTTAAATAGGAGCCCCATTAGACAGTACTTTCTTTCATGTCGAAAGCAACAAAAGAAAC